TCGGGGGGTGGGGGGGGGGGGGGGGGGATGACGGATGAAAAATGTAATCTTTTTCTCTTTCTGATTGGGATATGTGTAAAGCTCTGAGGTGGTGTGGTTTAGAGGAAGTAGTTATAATCCCACGCTCAGCAGATCACTGAGAAGCGATGCTGACAGGCCCTGTAAAGACACCTGAGCTCTGGCTGGGCTAATCTACGGCTCGATTGGAGGATGTACTTAAACTGTCACTCTGGCCTAACCCAGCAGGGAAATTCTCCCTTTCTCCCTCTTTTCTCTCTCCCCGTGGAGGATCATTAGCAAAGAAGGAACACTACACCTCAGAGAGTGGACGGTAATCACATCAGATCACATATCAGATCACATCATCACAACAGCACAGACTCTAGATGCTCGGTAACTCAGCAATAAAAGACTACTTACCTCACTTTAGGGTACGTGCTAACAGTTTTCCACTACGACTGTCATATTGCCTTGGGTGGGATTGTCTAAACTCTGATTTGCAACGTGCTCAGACACAGCCATACTGCTCAAAGGAGCGTGATGTTATGTTATTAAGGAAATGCCATTTATTCCTGCACTTATTCTTGGCCGCCTTCCCTGAGTAGTTTTTACTGTGCCATTGATAATAATACTGCAGGTATAAACGCTCTTTAAGCCTCTGTGTTCGTTACCTGCTAAACCTGTTGCGAGTCACATTACCTTGTCTAATTAATTAGAGCTTTGCACAAGACTGAAAGGCCAGTGTCTTCTTTCTAGATGGCAGGTGACAGTTTGTATTTTTTTATCTCGGTGGAAGGGAGAGATGATGGGATCGGAGAATGGCAGAAGTGTAGAAGAACAAAAAAAATATAAAGCGGCTCAAGCTAATCCCTTTAAGTGAAGCGCAGGTTTGGCCCTAATCGGATGTAATCTACCTGCTTGGCAGCTTTCCAATCAGATAGTTTCAATTATGTGGTTGTAGGGGCATTCTGAAGGGGGGAAGTGCTGAGCTGAGCACTTTGAAAGTGATTTGCAGATAACACTGAATGAGTGCGGCAATAGAAACGATTTAGCAGGACTCATTCCCCACCCAACCGCACATAAAAACACGGGCACACGCGAATGTGTGCAAACATGAGCCTTCTGTGACGTTGCAGTAGGGGAGGGGGCTTGGAGTTAAGGTCCAATGTGGTGGTGTATGATAATGTTCAGGCAATTATTTCTTGTGCTGCTTGGCTGCTCCATTCCTTGCTGAATATGAAGTGCAGGGAAGTTGCTCTTCTACAACAGGAATGGAAATAAGAAGTGCATCGGATGTATGGAATGAGTGTAGTTCAGCATTAGGGAAGTCTAGCAGAAAAACACAAAGGAGAAGAGATGATCCACTTTATAGGGCAGGGGTTTTCGAGCTTGATTCCATGGGCCATCAAATATGATAATCTCTTTTTGAGGATCTACTGTATATATGAAGGCAGCAATATATTTGTGTGTATAAAATCACATTTATACTGTGTGAAGGAAATATTAGGTGTGATATTATAAAGACATGAATTAAAATTGTAATTACAAAAATGTAATTAATTGGCTTTCATGCTGCCATTGTACTAAAGCAAAATGTTAAAATGTATTATTATTTTATTACT